CCCACGCAGACGTCGATAATGGAGACTTGGAAGCTTCATAATCTTTAATCTTTCCTCATAGGACTTGCCTTTCAAGCCCGGAACTATCCTTGTTGCGCGTCTTTGAACACTCTCTACTAAATTTTTGTCCTTTTCAAATTTCGGTGACCACACGACGTTTCCAAACTCCAGGTTCGGGCGCACGACAGCAACAAACAACTGCTTCATCGTTTCTAAATCTAGGACCTCGAAAGAGCGTCTGATCAGTCCAAGTCGTTGATTGGCTTTATTAACTTGACCTTCAATATGCTTAGAAAATTTCAACTCATTGTCGATATTAACTCCTAAATCCTTTTCCGTTGTCGACTTCGACATCATCACTCTGTCGTTGCAACCGTGTCTTCTCATACTGTAATCTTGCTGTTCATTATTCTTGCCAAGGTGGATAACTTTACATTTGTCAGCGTTAAAACGCAGCTGCCACTTATCAGCCCAGTCAACCAGCCTGTCAAGATCACCTTGCAACTGTACTTTTTGCGACGTATTCTTCACCGTATTATAAATTTTTGTGTCGTCAGCATACATCGAGCAAACGCTAGACACAGCTTCTGGTAGATCGTTTATAAACGCAACGAATAGAATAGGCCCGAGAACGCTTCCTTGTGGCACGCCGCTGCGCGCTGAAGCCCAGTCTGATACGGACCCATTAATACTGACACGTTGTCGCCTCCCATTGAACGTTTACACCATTTTTTATTCTTTCTTTTTTTCAGTGAACCTCTAGGCTTGGTAAGATATTATTGTACGCATTGTACATGTTTGAGCACAGATATGCGCGGACTGATAGGGAGGTCTATTCGAGTTAAAAGCGCCTGCTGACACTAAGCTGGATGCCGATTACTTCTACAGCATTTCACCGCCCGCGATCTGTTACTTTCGCAGCAAAATTAGTGCACAGAGAAGACAGCAATAAAACCAACTACGGATGTCTCAGCACGAAGATGACTGTGAGTAGTAACTATCTATTTACTATCGTGGGATAGGGCAAAAGGAGCAACAGGCATGATATTGTTATACTATAATTGCCGCTAACGGTATTGTATTGTACTTGTGTAATGCAGTGTTGCAACCATCGTGTACTTTCGTGTTATCGATAAGCCGAATAATGAGGAGTCTCATGGGTTATGAGAATTTTTCTTGTAGAAATAGCTCGATGAATGGTTAGCAATAGGTAAACTTGTCATCGATTCGTTTGTATTCCTCGACCTTGCAGAATTTCCACTTTCGTTTACCAACGATGTATGTTGATAAAACGTTGTCTATTACACATTATTTTAAGCCTCATCGGGATGCCATATCACAGTGCAGGAGTGGGGCAGGCACAAGGGAAGACTAGCGAGAAGAGAAGTCGCGCGGTGAACAAAGGTGAGATGTAATTTTCCGATACACTCACTGTTGGAGCGACAGGAGCCAGTATAAGGCTCAGATACCACCGCCCTACTACATTAATTGTTCTAGGTGAACCCCCAGTCAGGCATAGTCGTTTCAAACTATCTGTTCAAGGGCCAATATTAACTCTAATTTTGACTCTATTCTTAACGCCGAGTTACATCATGGACCCTCCAATGTCACTATGTTATGCCGTAAATTTTAGTATTACGCTTCTGGATAAATGTTTCAGGGAAGTTGTGATGTATGTTGCGCAAGACCAACTGGATACTATGAGCTTATCTGCATGCCATCTTATATGTTCAGACTTGAAATGCCTAGCGCCATATCTAACCTGGTGGAAGTCTAGTAGCTATTTCAAACTACCGTCAGTTTCGAATATCCGGTCAAAGGACCTGCATTCAAATCTTCTGGAGCAAGTCACTAAAAGTACAAGATTCAGCGACAGGCCATATCAGGCCTATTCTTAAGCGCCGACATCACTATGATATGATATGATATTAGTGATCAATTGGCGTCTACCGCAACTTTTGTTAGCTACAACACAGGTTTTAAAGTATGTGGTTCAAGCACTATCTGCAGGTAGGGGAGTGACCAGAAACGGAGCATTGCAGAAAGTTGCTATGTTCAAATTTTATTATAATTTTTTTGGAACGACAGGAGCAGTTGGCTTGTAGACTTCTGCCATCGGTAAAAGATTTTATTGGAGACGAGAAAAAAGCTCTCTGTAGCTTGGTGCTCCAGGGTCTATTAGCGATTTACGGTCAGTAGCTGGGCACGTCACCATGCAACAAACGGATGACTGATTGACTCTGAATGAATACAGTGAAGATTTACATAGAGTAACGGTTCTCTGGGACCTATTTTGTAAAAGGTTTGATGCGTTTCAAAATATAATGATTCTTATTTTCGCCTCACTGTTTGATATCACATGCATTAGAAACGTTCATGTATCCCGATTTTGTTTCTAAATAATTCTAGATGGTTGACGGTAGAGGAGAAACGGAATATCCTCTGTTTACGTCGACCACGATATTGATTGAATTCGAAAATTTTTTATTTTTAATTAATTTCTAATGTACTTCTTCGGTTACGATCTTAACCCCATTATCTATTGCCTATTGGAATATTTTCATGGTTTGCCTAAAGGGACTGTCCTAACCCTAGCACCTTCCCTGGTCGAACTTTACAACTGCTGCCTCACTAACGGAGTTGTTTGAGAGAATTTCAAATCAGCTTACATTACGCCTCTGTTGAAAAAAAGCAGACCTTTACGCTTCTGATTCCATACCATAACGGCCCATCTCTAATCTGTCGAATTTGTCGAAACTCGTGGAACGCGTTGTGGCCCGACAGCTGAACTACCTACTATTTTCAGCAATCCGGTCTCATGCCTCCCCTCCAGTCTGCATCTCCACTCGACGGAAACCGCTGTGTTGAAGGTGCCTTCAGACATTCTGCGAGAAGTAGACCGCGGCGACATTGTGGTACTAGATTTACTCGACTTGTCGGCCGCGTTTGACACGGTCGACCACGCCACCTTATTGCGTTGACTTGACGTATCATTCGGCCTGCGCGGCACAGTGCTGCTGGGGTTCCAGTCCTGTCTCAGCTATAGCTTGCAATGCATTCGACGCGGAACTCTTTTTCTAAGGAATTAACCATCGTTAGTCACTTGCGGAGTACCACAGGGATCCAGCGTTGCCAGATGGTATATTTCTATACCAGATTTCACAAATCTGGTATTTTGAGAAGGTGTCTGGTATGAACATTTTAGATCTGGTATATTTGCCTAAATCTGGTATTTTTCTGGTATTTTCTGACTTACTGCAAATTTACTGCATTAAGTTCCACCTCTGAAGTTTGAATTTCCTCCAACGTAGGCGTGGATTATATAGATTACCATTAGCTCCACCATTTTTGTTTGGTGGTTTTGAATTCTAGAGTGCCACTTATTGGAGTGCCACTTGAATTCTGGGGTGCCATTCAACGTTTCACTGATCTTGACAATTATCATCCATTCAGGGAACTGGCTGCCTACTGCATCACTTGTCAACTTTGACCTGTCTTCAAAGCATTCGTGGTGCAAGTGTTTTCACAAGTCACATATGTGAAAAACAAGCAACGGAATAAAATTTCAACTACGGTACTGGAGTCCCTTATTCGGACCAAAAGCTATCTCTTCAACCGCAACAAGTGATCACACCCGCAATGTTAGATTAATGCAATATGCAAGCATGTACGAAAATAAGCAAAATGAAGATGACCTGTTTCCGTGGCTTGCTCATGTTGAGCGAAGAGGAAAAAGTGCCACAATGACACTGATAATAAAAGGAAAAAGTGTCAATGTAATCAAACACAGGAAAAGAAAAGTGTCAAAATGTTCCAAACAGAGGGGAAAAAAATATAACGTGTTCAATTTGGCTAATTATCGTCAAGCCAGATAACTGCACAGTACATAAGATAATTTTTTTCTAACCAACGTTTCTGACGAATAGTTTTATTAAATTTGGAGGTATTAGTCTGTTTTTGAACGATAGAATTTCTGGTATATTTCTGGTATTTTGAGCTAGGCAATCTGGTATTCTTGCCAAGAAAAAACCTGGCAACACTGCAGGGATCAGTCTTTGACCCGATCCTCTGTTGTATACTGTCGACGTATTGCACAAAATTGATTTACATAGTTTGAATCCGCATATGTTTACTGACGACATTCAAATTTATGGCTACTGTTCACTGGCTGACGCTGGTGTTAACGGATCGGATATATCTGTGTCCGTAGACGCCGTCTCAGACTGGATGCGCTCCAACAGGCTCCTGCTCAATGCGGCAAAAAAAAAACTCAATTTACTTAGTGACTGCTCAGCGCCAGCATCAGCTTCCGGCCAACCCTGTTCGCGCGGGGAACGATTTCGTTATGCCTGCGTCTTCGGTTCGCAACCTCGACATTCTGCCGGACTCGGAACTTTAAATGAACAGTCACATTGCCAAAGTCACCACCGCTTGCTTTGGCGCTATGCGACGAATACGTTACGTCAGCCGCTGTCTCTCGAAGCCAGTTCTCGGGACCTTCGTGATGGTGCTCGTTCTGACCAGATTGGACTATAGTAATGCCATTTTCTATGGATTTCTGACCACGGCACTAAATAAAATATAATCCGCAATGAACGCTGTTGTGCGTCTCGTGTTCAACAATAAAAAATTCGACAACGTGACGAACTGACGACAATATTACGCGAAATTCACGGGCTGCGCATGCAGCAGCGCACGCAGTTTAAAGGTCGCTGTTCTGACGTTCCGATGCCTTCACGGTCTGGCGCCTTCTTATCTCACGGAATGTCTGCAGCGCGTGTCGGATCTGCCTTCTAGAAGGCGACTGTGTTCCGTCAACAGCAGTGAACCTCGTCGTTCCATCTGAATTCTGATGGAACGACGTCATCCGGTCAGAGCTTTCCCGGTCACCAGGCAGTGTTTTGGGTGTATGCATAGGTCACAAGGATCCTGTCACACCGGCGTCGGTGCTGCTGAGCTGAGAGCTCTAAAAACGGGTAACGGCAGTTGAACGGCTTCCGCCGTCGAGTGAGGTGGGTGTTTGTGGTCGTTTCTTTTCTGCACGAGGATGTAAAGCCCTGATTCTGATAGAATTGATTTTAGTGCCCTCTGCAATTTATAGTTTCTTAACGACAAAGTTGATGTTTTCAACACAAAATAATGCATTTATTTCCCTTTGCTAGTTTTTTCAAAGTTGAGGCTAGGATGCATTTAGATCAAACATATGTCACAATTATAAGATACAAATTCACTAGACACTCATGCATTTTTGTCGATATCTTCTAGAAATGCCACTTATATTCGCATCGTCTGGTGCATCTCAAAGAACAACAAACGGCGAAGCTGTGAACGCATGCTTTTAAAATTAAGTGCATTACTCATTTGTTCTCTTTTCTGCGATACAGTCGATACTACTTAAATGTGTCATAAGTGTTGTACCGACACATAGTAATGGATGCGCTCGTGTTGAATGTTCCCATCACTCGCAAGGCTGCTAAATTTTTAATGTTTGTCTTATCATTATATGCTTTAGAGTATATTTATTTGCGTCCTTTATTGCCTAACCTTTTTTTTCGCAATCTTGCCATCACATAGTTATCATTGAGTTTAACGCGCTATGTTTTGCTACATAAATGTGTGTCAATAGCCAGTAGGTACAGTCATCACAGCGCGCGTGTGTCAGTATGTACAGTCATCACAGCGCGCGTGTCAGTAGGTACAGTCATCACAGCGCGTGTGTGTCAGTATGTACAGTCATCACAGCGCGCGTGTCAGTAGGTACAGTCATCACAGCGCATGTGTGTCAGTAGGTACAGTCATCACAGCGCGCGTGTGTCAGTATGTACAGTCATCACAGCGCGCGTGTGTCAGTAGGTACAGTCATCACAGCGCGTGTGTGTCAGTAGGTTCAGTCATCACAGCGCTTGTGTCAGTAGGTACAGTCATCACAGCGTGTGTGTGTCAGTAGGTTCAGTCATCACAGCGCGTGTGTGTCAGTAGGTTCAGTCATCACAGCATGTGTGTCAGTAGGTACAGTCATCACAGCGTGTGTGTCAGTAGGTACAGTCATCACAGCGTGTGTGTGTCAGTAGGTACAGTCATCACAGCGTGTGTGTGTCAGTAAGTTCAGTCATCACAGCGCGTGTGTGTCAGTAGGTACAGTCATCACAGCGCGTGTGTGTCAGTAGGTACAGTCATCACAGCGTGCGTGTGTCAGTAGGTACAGTCATCACAGCGTGTGTGTCAGTAGGTACAGTCATCATAGCGCGTGTGTGTCGATGGGTTAGGTTTTCACACACACGCTGTTTTGGCTGTATCTACTGTCTGCTGATTACCCAGTTTGCGATGTTCACGTGTTTGCAACTTGTTTGCAAATTTTCACACGAGGATGCGAACATTCACACATATTTGCAAATATTAAAATCAGGTTGCGAACCTTTCACACGTGTTTGCAAATGTTCACACGTGTTTGCAAATGTTAAGACGAGATAGCGAACGTTCACACGTGTTTGCAAATTTTCACACGGGCTGGCGAACTTTGACACATGTTCGCAAACGTTCACACGTGTTTACAAATTTTCACACGGGTGTGCGAACGTTGACACTTGTTTGCAAACGATCACACGTGTTTTTCAATCGTTCACTCGTGTTTGCAAACGATCACACGTGTTTTTCAATCGTTCACTCGTGTTTGCGAACGTTCACACGTGTTCGCAAATGAGCCCACGAGGTTGCAAGCGTTCACACGTGTTTTTCAGCGTTTTGAGCGTTTGAAAGTTTTTACCAACACGCAAGTGAGACTCGCATTGCGTTCACAAGAGCGTATCTACGCCCAGCTGTTGCCCAGCATACGACGCCCAGCATACGACGAGCTTCCCAACAGGGCAGTGAGGGCATCTGCGTTATCAACATTTTCTGATGGTGAAGCGATGAGGAAGAGTAGCAGATGTGGCAAGCTTCGTTTTTAAAGGAAAATTTTATGTAGTTGATGTCATGTAGGCTATTATTGTCGAAGCTGTTAACATTGATAGTTTTGACAACGCGGGTGCCATTATGAGAACTATTCATACCTAATTTTAAACACAATGCAATTTTTACTCCGTCATCTACACTGGATATTTTTTTTACCCATGGAAATATTTATGTATCTGTTCAAAAGCAGTAGTGATCTTGACTTGCTTTGTTCCCTTCAAATTACAATTAATCTAAAGTGAATGCTTCCCAAAATATTGATTGCAAACAAAATGATAAAATTTTGCACATCTTTGAAGCTTATAACCCTCCATCCTTCGTGTTGCAAGTAACAGTTGTGCTTAGCGTTGCAAGGAACTTTTTATCCTTTGGATAACGAGTAATCCTTTATCCTTTGAGTTGAGTAACGAATAACTCTTTAACATCGAGTAACTATAGTAACCCTTTATTCTTTTCTGTAACGAGTAACGTCCCTTCATCTTTTTATGTAACGGATAACCCTTCATCCTTTTATGTAACAAGTGACCCTTTATCCTTTAAGTAACGAGTAACCCTTTATCCTTCGAGTAACCAGTAACTCTTTATCCTTTGAGTAACGAGTAACTTCTCCATTCAACTCGCGTCGATTCCAACAATGGAGATTTCGTTAACAGGACTCGCATCCTTTATCGTTGTTTGCGTTGACATTACTCCCTATGTAATGTGACATCATTCCCTACGTAATGTGACGTTACTGTCACAAGCTCATTATATTAAGCTCTACCTGAGGATCGGTAGTGAGGTAGTGAAGGTAAGTAAGACACATCAGTCCAGATAACGTATCTTGTATACGGGGTGGTAATACAGATTTACGATACAGGGGCCATACTTTCAAAACTCGCTGAGTGAAAGTAAGTACTTACGCTCTATTTTCTTGTCTATGATTGGTAGATTTGGCTTGAAAGGCCGTCAATGATTGGCTGATGATCTTACGATCTCTTAACTTTTTTTGAAAGTATGGCCCCTGACTACTGAGGGATAAGCTACGGCGCCGACCGTAAGGTCGGAGAGCCGAACGACTCGTTACATCTCGAGCGCTTATCAACAATTGCGGAGGCCTTTCTTTAATTAATGTTGCTAGCCCTTTTATAAGCTCCGCTTCCGCCCACTACCAAGGCCTTGATCGCGTGATCTATCACGTGTCATACAGATGTTGACTCGTTTTCAATCTCTATCAGGTTAAGTGAATATTACGTCCCAATCACATACAATTATAATGGTTATAATGAGACGCCAGATTGACATCGGACATTACTCCCTCTATATAATGTTACATTACTCCCTATGTAATGTGACATTACTCCCTATGGTGACATTACTCCCTATGGAGACATTACTCCCTATGGTGACATTACTCCCTATGGTGACATTACTCCCTATGAAATGAGACATTTCTCCCTATGTAATGTGACATAGCTCCCTATGTAATATGACATTACTCCCTAAGTAATGTGACATTACTCCCTATGTAATGTGACATTACTCCCTATGTAATGTGACATTCCTTCCTATGTAATGTGACATTCCTTCCTATGTAATGTGACATTACTCCCTATGTAATGTGATATTACTCCCTATGTAATGTGACATTGCTCCCTATGTAATGTGACATTGCTCCCTATGTAATGTGACATTGCTCCCTATTTAATTTGACATTCTTTCCTATGTAATGTGACATTACTCCCTATGTAATGTGACATTACTCCCCATATCTCGACTTGGTTCCAACAATGCCAAGGCTGCTGAAGGGAAAACGCTTCCCACCCTCCAAGAGGACCAGGCACTACAGACGCTCCTTGTCTCGTGGCCTTGTGCTGCATCTTCTATGTACATGAGTACATCTCTGAACTAATCTCTGTTGTACATGAGTACATCTCTCAACTAATCTCTGTTGTACACGAGTACATCTCTGAACTAATCTCTGTTGTACACGATTACATCTCTGAACTAATCTTTGTTGTACATGAGTACATCTCTGTACTAATCTCTGTTGTACATGAGTACATCTCTGAACTAATCTCTGTTGTACATGAGTACATCTCTGAACTAATCTCTGTTGTACATGAGTACCTACATCTCTTTACTAATCTCTGTTGTACACGAGTATATCTCTGCACTCATCTCTGCTGTACATGAGAACATCTCTGTACTCATCTCTGCTGTACATGAGTACATCTCTGTACTCATCTCTGTTGTACATGAGTATATCTCTGCACTCATCTCTGCTGTACATGAGTACATCTCTGTACTCATCTCTGTTGTACATGAGTACATCTCTGTACTCATCTCTGTTGTACATGAGTATATCTCTGCACTCATCTCTGTTGTACATGAATACATCTCTGTACTCATCTCTGCTGTACATGAGTACAGCTCTGTACTTACTACTTATCCCTGTTGTACATGAGTATATCTCTGCACTCATCTCTGTTGTACATGAGTACATCTCTGTACTCATCTCTGCTGTACATGAGTACAGCTCTGTATTTATCTCTGTTGTACATGAGTATATCTCTGTACTCATCTCTGCTGTACATGAGTACATCTCTGTACATGAGTACATCTCTGTACTCATCTCTGCTGTACATGAGTACATCTCAGTGCTCGTCTCTGCTGTACATGAGTACATCTCTGTACTCATGTCTGCTGTACCTAATTACATCTCAGTGCTCATCTCGTTCATTGAGAAACTAACAAGAGCTCTTCACAGAATATAATAATAATAATAGACCAATAAGAGCTCTACTTATAAGAGCTCTTCGCAGAATATGATAATAAACTAATAAGAGCTCATCGCATAATATAATAATAATAATAGACCAATAAGAACTCTATTTATAAGAACTCTTCGAATAATATAATTAAATTAATAATAATAAGAGTAATAATAATTGACTAATAAGAGCTCATTGCAGACTAAGTGCTGTAGACATGGCAGTGTGGGAGCTACTGTGCACGCTGTGGCAGTTCCTGCTGCTGAACCTGAAGGTGTTGTACGTCCTTCTGGCTGACGTGGTCTCCACGCTGCTACCGCCCCCTCAGAAGAACCTCAGCGACTCTGTCGTGCTCGTGAGTTGCCGGGGTGTCGTGTTATGTAGGCATAAACATCGTGCAGTGACTACCGCCGTGCAGTGACTACCGCCGTGCAGTGACTACCGCCGTGCAGTGACTACCGTGCAGTGACTACTACCGTGCAGTGACTACTACCGTGCAGTGACTACCGTGCAGTGACTACCGTGCAGTGATCATGTGCAGTGATCACCGTGCAGTGATCACCGTGCAGTGATCACCGTGCAGTGCTACCGTGCAGTGACTACCGTGCAGTGATCACCGTGCAGTGACCACCGTGCAGTGACCACCGTGCAGCGACTACCGTGCAGTGACTACCGTGCAGTGACTACTACCGTGCAGTGACTACTACCGTGCAGTGACTACCGTGCAGTGACTACCGTGCAGTGATCATCGTGCAGTGATCACCGTGCAGTGATCACCGTGCAGTGACCACCGTGCAGTGATCACCGTGCAGTGATCACCGTGCAGTGATCACCGTGCAGTGACTCGTGCAGTGACTACCGTGCAGTGACTACCGTGCAGTGACCACCAAGCAGTGATCACCGTGCAGTGACTACCGTGCAGCGACTACCGTGCAGTGACTACCGTGCAGCGACTACCGTGCAGTGACTACCGTGCAGCGACTACCGTGCAGCGACTACCGTGCAGTGCTACCGTGCAGTGCTACCGTGCAGTGACCACCGTGCAGTGACCACCGTCCAGTGACTACCATGCAGTGACTCTGCTGACGAAGATTAGCCCAGTCAGACCCTCTCGATGCGTAGACCTGGCCTATACTTTCAAAAAAAGTTAAGAGATCGTAAGTTCATCAGCCAATCATTAACGGCCTTTCAAGCAAAATCCACCAATCACAGACAAGAAAATAGAGCGTAAGTACTTACGTTCACTTAGCGAGTTTTGAAAATACGATCCCTGGTCTAGGCCCACAACTGTTGTTTCTCCTGCACAATCAGGCGATAGTTAAACAGCGTTAATTCAATTAATTCATTATTAGTACAGGAAAGGTCTAGTATATTATGATGCCCTGTTGATACCATAACTACCTAACCTTATGTTGACTATCATCAGGATAATTAACCCCCCTTAACAGATCACGGGGGCCGGGGGAGCGCTGGGGCGGGCCCTGGCCCTGCAGTTCGCGGCATGTGGGGCCCGACTGGCGCTCTGGGACATCAGCGAGGTCAGGGGCCATGCTCCATGCTCCCAGCTCCCGCTCCCAGCTCCATGCTCCCTGCTCCCTGCTACTGCTCCCAGCTCCATGCTCCCTGCTCCATGCTCCCAGCTCCCGCTCCCAGCTCCCTGCTCCCTGCTCCCTGCCACTACTCCCAGCTCCATGCTCCCTGCTACTGCTCCCTGCTCCCAGCTCCATGCTCCCTGCTACTGCTCCGTGCTCCCTGCTACTGCTCCCTGCTCCCTGCTACTGCTCCCTGCACCATGCTCCCTGCTCCATGCTCCCAGCTCCATGCTCCCTGCTCCATGCTCCATGCTCCATGCTCCCAGCTCCATGCTCCATGCTCCCTGCTCTCAGCTCCATGCTCCATGCTCCCTGCTCCATGCTTCTGCTCCCTGCTCCTTGCTCCCTGCTCCATGCTCCCTGCTCCATGCTCCCAGCTCCCTGCTCCATGCTCCATGCTCCCAGCTCCATGCTCCCTGCTCCATGCTTCTGCTCCCTGCTCCATGCTCCCTGCTTCATGCTCCCTGCTCCATGCTCCATGCTCCCTGCTCCATGCTACCTGCACCCTGCTCCATGCCCTGCTCCATGCTCCATGCTCATTGCTCCCTGCTCCATGCTCCCTGCTCCCCGCTCCATGCTCCCTGCTCCCTGCTCCCTGCTCCATGCTCCATGCTCCCTGCTCCATGCTCCCTGCTCCATGCTCCCTGCTCCATGCTTCCTGCTCCATGCTCCCTGCTCCATGCTCCCTGCTCCCTGCTCCATGCTCCCTATGCTATTTGACTCTATTTGTGTTGCAGCACCGCAGTGTTGCAGCACCGCAGTGTTGCAGCACCGCAGTGTTGCAGCACCGCAGTGTTGCAGCACCGCAGTGTTGCAGCACCGCAGTGTGCCGTGTTGCAGCACCACAGTGTGCCGTGTTGCAGCATCGCAGTGTGCCGTGTTGCAGCACCGCAGTGTGCCGTGTTGCAGCACCGCAGTGTTGCAGCACCACAATTAATGTTACAGGCGAGCGTACAGGCGAGCGCTGAGGCGGTGCAGGCGGCAGGCGGGGAGGCGTTCGTCTTCGTCTGTGACGTCACGAGCCCTGATGACGTCACCGCTACCGCGGCCAAGGTGACGTCATAGTGACGTGACACTAAATCTTCATCATCGTCTGTACTGGTAGTGTTCATTATGTAACATGGACTTTGCTATATAAATGACAACATTCCTGCACTATATCATCACATCATAATGCCTCACACCGTTCACTATATCACCACATCATAATGCATCATTAATCATAAGGCTGCCTCAGTCAGAACTATCTTGTCGCCACGCTCGACTTAATTCAGAAGTCGTGAAACTATCAAAATAAATTACATCTAATTTTAATTAATACGGCATAGATCTTACTGCAAGACATAATACGGCTAGATTTTGCTGAGAGACTTAATACGGCTGATCTTGCTGTAAGACTTAATACGGCTAGATCTTACTGCAAGTTTTAATACGGCTAGATTTTGTTGAGAGACTTGATACGGCTAGATCTTGCTGTAAGACTTGATACGGCTAGATCTTGCTGTAAGACTTAATACGGCTAGATCTTACTGCAAGTCTCGATACGGCTAGATTTTGCTGAGAGAATTAATACGGCTAGATATTGCTGAGGGACTTAATACGGCTAGATTTTGTTGAAAGACTTAATACGACTAGATTTTGCTGAGAGACCTGATACGGCTAGATCTTGCTGTAAGACTTAATACGGCTAGAACTTACTGCAAGTCATAATACAGCTAGATTTTACTGTGAGAATTAATACGGCTAGATTTTGCTGAAAGACTTGATAGGGCTAGATCTTGCTGTAAGACTTAATACGGCTAGATTTTGTTGAAAGATTTAATACGGCTAGATTTTCTAAGAAAATTAATACGGCTAGATTTTGCTGAAAGACTTTATACTGCCAGATTTTGTTGAAAGATTTAATACGGCTAGATTTTCTAAGATAATACGGCTAGATTTTGCTGAGAGAATTAATACGGCTAGATTTTTATAGACTTGATACGGCTAGATCTTGCTGTAAGACTTAATACGGCTAGATCTTACTGCAAGTCTTAATACGGCTAGATTTTGCCGAGAGCCTTAATACGGCTAGATCTTACTGCAAGTCTAAATACGGCTAGATTTTGCTGAGAGCCTTAATACGGCTAGATCTTGCTGTAAGACTTAATACTGCTGGATCTTACTGCAAGTCTTAATACGACTAGATTTTGCTGCGAGCCTTAATACGGCTAGATCTTGCTGCAATAATACGGTAAATTAATCGACTTCTTCACACATGGCCTCGGCCTCATGAGGCTTGTGCCTCCTGCTCATTAATTAAAATAAATAATGCGTGGCATTCAAGAAACATGCGCGTCCCGTGTGTTATATCATCCGGCCCTGCGTGTTACTTCATAACACGTCCCGTGTGTTATATCATCCGTCCCTGCGTGTTACTTCATAACACGTCCCCTGTGTTATATCATCCGTCCCTGCGTGTTACTTCATAACACGTCCCGTGTGTTATATCATCCGGCCCTGCGTGTTACTCCATAACACGTCCCGTGTGTTATATCATCCGTCCCTGCGTGTTACTCCATAACACGTCCCGTGTGTTATATCATCCGGCCCTGCGTGTTACTCCATAACACGTCCCGTGTAGTGATATCATCCGTCCCTGCGTGTTACTCCATAACACGTCCCGTGTGTTATATCATCCGTCCCTGCGTGTTACTCCATAACACGTCCCGTGTAGTGATATACCCCGCGTTGGTGCAGGTGCGTGATGAGGTTGGTGAGCCTGGTGTGGTGGTGCTGAGCGCTGGTGTGTACCACCACAAACCATTTCTGCAGCACACCGAGCACGACATCCGCACCACGGTGGATGTCAACCTCATGGGCAACATCTGGGTGAGACGTGCTGCCTACATGTTCTTGTTTCCTTTATCGCCATCATTAATCAACACTTCAATTATATATTATTTCTCCGTGTATGAACCATGGTATTGTATGATTATTGTAGCCGATCCACGTTATTAATTTCGGGGAATCCCGAATGCATCATTGGTTCATCATCATAGTGATGATTGTGTCATGGCGCAGGTCCCAAATACATCATTATTCGTCATCATAATGATGATTGTATCATGGCGCAGGTCCCAAATTCATCATTATTCGTCATCATAATGATGATTGTATCATGGCGCAGATCCCAAATTCATCATTATTCATCATCATTGTGATGAATGTATCATGGCGCAGGTCCATTCCATTCCATTCCATTTCCGGGCCGTCGATCCCCGTCAGGGACTGCCCCCCCCCCAGGGTCCCACACCAGGCACGCCCACTGGTGCCTCGCCATATTGGCGACCGACAGCACCCTGTTGCACCCCGGGCACTGAGCAACCCTCCCCCTCCTGGCTCTCACCGGCTCCTCCCCCCCTCCCTCCACAACCCCNCCAAGACGGCTCGACACCGTCCGGCAGGTACCGATGCGGGCCCCCGAGGGGCCCTCGCCTCGAAAGTATTTAAAGAGGGGTCCGGGGCGGCTACTCCCTTCTTCCTCTGCTGTGAGCGGGGGGGTGTTGGGCATCTCCCCTTGCGGCTTGACCCCACATTGCCCCCCGCCCCCTGGTGGATCCTTTGCCGCTCCAGGGGCCAACAGCTGCCGGCCCCGGGCGAGTCCCCCTTGCGCCACAGGAGGCGAACCACCGAGCAAGGCATGGCGCAGGTCCCGAATACATCATTACTCATCATCATCATCACCATCATCATGACCATGATCATCATGATGATATTAATGGTGCAGGTAACACGCGCGTTCCTGGGCGGTATGATGGCCAGCAACAGCGGCCACGTGGTGGTGCTGTCCTCCGTGCTGGGCGTGATGGGCCGCCCCCTCCTGGCCCCGTACTGCGCCTCCAAGTTCGCCGTCACGGGTGAACTCTTGTCTGCTGTTGTCTGTTGTTGTCTGCTGTTGTCTGCTGTTGTCTGTTGCTGTTGTCTGTTGCTGTTGCCTGCTGTTGTCTGCTGTTGTCTGCTGTTGTCTGTTGCTGTTGCCTGCTGTTGTCTGCTGTTGTCTGCTGTTGTCTGTTGTTGTCTGTTGTTGTCTGTTGTTGTCTGTTGTTGGCTGCTGTTGTCTGCTGTTTGTTGCTGTTGTCTGTTGTTGTCTGTTGTTGTCTGTTGTTGGCTGCTGTTGTCTGCTGTTTGTTGCTGTTGTCTGCAGTTGTCTGTTGCTGTCTGTTGTTGTCTGTTGTTGTCTGTTGTTGTCTGCTGTCTGTTGCTGTTGTCTGTTGCTGTTGTCTGTTGCTGTTGTCTGTTGTCTGTTGCTGTTGTCTGTTGTTGATGTCTGTTCCTATTGTCTTTCTAAGCATTCCTCGTATAAATTACGTTTAATTGTTCATCGTCGAAGATCAACAATGTTTGACTTGTACCGATTTCTCTAAGGATATTTCAATTACTTTAATTTATATACAAAAGTAGAACAAAATGAAGTATTTACGAGTCCGGAACGTTTACATAGGGTTTATTGTATAGAATTTATTGTGCGGGATTTATGGTGCGGGATTTATTGTGCAGGATTTCTTTTGCAGGAATTACTGTGCAGGATTTATTTGGCAGGTTCTATTATGCAGGATTTATTGTGCGGGATTTATTGTGCAGGATTTACTGTGTAGGATTTACTGTGCAGGATTTACTGTGCAGGATTTACTGTGTAGAACTTACTTTGCAGGTTCTATTGTGTAGGATTTATTGTGCAAGATTTACTGTGCAGAATTTATTATACAGTATTTATTGTGCAGGATTTATTGTGCAGGACTTAATGTGCAACATTTACTGTGCAGGATTTATTATGCTGGATTTATTGTGAAGGGTTTATGGTGCAGGATTTATTGTGCAGGATTTATGGTTCAGGACTTATTGTACAGGATTTATTATGCAGGATTTATTGTGCAAGATTTATTATGCAGGATTTATTATGCAAGATTTATTGTGAATGATTTATTATGCAGGATTTATTGTGCATGATTTATTGTGCAGGATTTATGGTGCAGAATCTATTATGCAGGATTTATTGTGCAGGATTCATTGTGCAGTATTTGCTATGCAGGATTTATTGTGCAGAATTTATTGTGCAGTATTTACTATGCAGGATTTATTGTACAAAATTTATTGTACAGGGTTTATTATGCAGGATTTGTTGTGCAGGCAGGCTTTATTGTGCAGGCAGGATTTATTGGGCAGAATTTATTGTGCAGGCAGGATATATTGTGCAGGATTTAATGTGCGGGATTTAATGTGCAGGATTTACTGTGCAGGATTTACTGTGCAGGATTTATTGCAAAGGTTTTACTGTACAGGATTTACTGTGCAGGATTTATTGTGCAGGATTTACTGTGCAGTATTTATTGTGCAGGATTTACTGTGCAGTATTTATTGTGCAGGATTTACTGTGCAGAATTTATTGTGCAGGATTTACTGTGCAGGATTCACTGTGCAGGATTCACTGTGCAGGATATACTGTGCAGGATTTATTGNGCAGTGACGTGTCCAGCTGAGGTGAGCAGTGACGTGTCCAGCTGAGGTGAGCAGTGACGTGTCCAGCTGAGGTGAGCAGTGATTTTAGGATTCTGGCAGGAAATGTGGATTAGAAATATGCATGAAACGGGGAAGGGTCTCTTCCTCACTAAAGTGATAGACAGAGTTGGTCTTTGGCCTGGGCGGCAAACGGGAATCGAAATGTTGAAACTGCCCTTGCCAGGTTGTGCCTGGGGCATGCGGGAGTCAATTCGCACCTTGCACGCTTTAACTTGTTGGACAGGTTAAATGCGGGGTTGTTCATGCGGGGCTGATGCTGAAACAATAGAACATCTGCTTATTCACTGTCCGCTCTATGGGGTTGCCCGGAACAATCTGGCTTGCTCACTTGCTGCACTCAATGTAAATCTCTCGCTCAAAAATTTGCTGGGAGGAGGCCCCTTCTCCCCAGAGACTCAGAGTGCAATTGTAGAGGCTGTTTCCACCTACCCTCTCTCTACCAACAAACTGAAGTCAATATAGCTTCCTTGAGCAAGTTATTTCATGTTTGCTTGTTTAGTATTGTAATATTGGTAGTATTAGTATTATTAAGTATACATTGTTAGTGTACTAACATTCTGTGGAACTAATAATAATCTGTTAATACTTACTACTCCCCTCGCACCTTTACGAGTGAAATCTAGAATGCAACCGGAGGCGCTCTACGCAGCCCAACCTTTGAAATGACTGCTCCCTGTAAAGAGTGCCTTTGTTTGCCTTCTGTATAGCTGATACTGCTCCCTTTCTCCATCAGAGCCCAGCCCATACGAGACTCTTTATGTATCTTTGTTTTCCAGATGTAAACTTAGTTTATTGGCAAATTCTGGCCCAAGAAGCTCCAGGCTGCGCGGCCCAGGCTGGACCTTCAGCTGGACTAAGCTAGTGCTGTGACTCTCGTATGAGGCAAAGTGTAGGGCATGCCTTGAGTAAAAACTAACCTGGGGACACCTATTGTTGTTGGGTCATCCACTGGTGTGTATGGATATAGTTCAGCTAACCACGACTGTGCTGTGCTCTGCGGCTCTGCCGTGTTCCACGGCTTTGCCGTGGCATGTTCTCTTCAACAGGTGCTAAGAATAAGAAGAGCTTAAGTCAGGCAGGGAGCTAGAGTTAGGCTATAGGTAGTGCACTGATTGAAAGTAATTGTGAAGCGCCACTTGAAAAATCACTTAGGCAAATATAACTCAAAACCCTGTCGTGGGACCACATTGGACTGTTCTTCAGAGGCTCCCACAAATCTGAAACGAAACGAAATCCCTTAAAAATCCAATGTTTTTTCTTCCTCTGCCTTACTCGAAAAATGCGTAAATCATCCCTGTGTTGTTTACCGTTAGTATATATACTACAACCCTTGGCAAAAATTATGGAATCACCGGCCTCGGAGGATGTTCATTCAGTTGTTTAACTTTGTAGAAAAAAAGCAGATCAAAGACATGACACAAAACTAAAATCATTTCAAATGGCATCTTTTTGGCTTTAAAAAACACTATAAGAAATCAAGAAAAAAAATGTGAAGTCAGTAACGGTTATTTTTTTAGACCAAGCAGAGGGAAAAAATATGGAACACTCAATTCTGAGGAAAAAATTATGGAATCATGACAAACAAAAGAACGCTCCAACACATCACTAGTATTTTGTTGCACCACCTCTGGCTTTTATAACAGCTTGCAGTCTCTGAGGCATGGACTTAATGAGTGACAAACAGTACTCTTCATCAATATGCCTCCAACTTTCTCTGATTGCAGTTGCCAGATCAGCTTTGCAAGTTGGAGCCTGGTCATGGACCATTTTTTTCAACTTCCACCAAAGATTTTCAATTGGATTAAGATCCGGACTATTTGCAGGCCATGACATTGACCTTATGTGTCTTTTTTTCAAGGAATGTTTTCACAGTTTTAGCTCTATGGCAAGATGCATTATCATCTTGAAAAATGATTTCATCATCCCCAAACATCTTTTCAATTGATGGGATAAAAAAAGTGTCCATAATATCAACGTAAACTTGTGCATTTATTGAAGATGTAATGACAGCCATCTCCCCAGTGCCTTTACCTGACATGCAGCCCCATATCATCAATTACTGTGGAAATTTGCATGTTCTCTTAAGGCAGTCATCTTTATAAATCTCATTGGAACAGCACCAAACAAAATTTCCAGCATCATCACCTTGCCCAACGCAGATTCGAGATTCATCACTGAATATGACTTTCATCCAGTCATCCACAGTCCACGATTGTTTTTCCTTAGCCCATTGTAACCTTGTTTTTTTTCTGTTTTGGTGTTAATGATGGCTTTCGTTTAGCTTTTCTGTATGTAAATCCCATTTCCTTTAGGCGGTTTCTTACAGTTCGGTCACAGACGTTAACTCCAGTTTCCTCCCATTCGTTCCTCATTTGTTTTGTTGTGCATTTTCGGTTTTTGAGACATATTGCATTAAGTTTTCTGTCTTGACGCTCTGATGTCTTCCTTGGTCTACCAGTATGTTTGCCTTTAACAACCTTTCCATATTGTTTGTATTGGGTCCAGATTTTAGACACAGCTGACTGTGAACAACCAACATCTTTTGCAACATTGCGTGATGATTTACCCTCTTTTAAGAGTTGATAACCCTCTCCTTTGTTTCAATTGACATCTCTCGTTTTGGAGCCATGATTCATGTCAGTCCACTTGGTGCAGCAGCTCTCCAAGGTGTGATCACTCCTTTGTAGATGCAGACTAACGAGCAGATCTAATTTGATGCAGGTGTTAGTTTTGGGGATGAAAATTTACAGGGTGATTCCATAATTTTTTCTTCAGAATTGAGTGATTCCATATTTTTTTCCCTCTGATTGGTCTAAAAAAATAACCTTTACTGACTGCACAATTTTTTTCTTGATTTCTTATAGTGTTTCTTAAAGCCAGAAAGTTGCCAATTGAAATTACTTTAGTTTTGTGTCATGTCTATGATCTGCTTTTTTTCTACTAAGTTAAACAACTGAATGAACATCCTCCGAGGCCGGTGATTCCATAATTTTTGCCAGGGGTTGTAGCTATATAGTCTTCGTTTTGTTTCCCTGTTTAACTTTTACCCTATAATTAGTAATGGAATTACTCCAGTTTGGGGACCAAAACTGGGCTCGGAAGGTGGCGCTTGATTTTGGAGTCGAATTAGCAAAAATAATTAAGAGTTTGTAGCTCAGTCAGCCAATCACTGAAGGCTTTGGAAGCTAAACCCACAAATCACAGACAGATGCTACGTGTACTTAGGCCACTACGTGTACTTAGGCCACCACGCGTACTTAGGCCGCTACGTGCACTTAGGCCACTGCGTGTACTTAGGCCGCTACGTTTACTTAGGCCGCTACGTGTACTTAGGCCCTTATGTGTACTTAGGCCGCTACGTTTACTTAGGCCGCTACGTGTACTTAGGCCACTACGTGTACTTTGGCCACTACGCGTACTTAGGCCGCTACGTGCACTTAGGCCACTGCGTGTACTTAGGCCGCTATGTGTACTGAAGTATCACAGTAACGCCCCTGGTGTACAGAGTGCCCGGTGTGTTCGACATCCTGACGCCTGCAGACGCGGCCTCTGCCATCGTCACCGCCGTCCGGAGGAACCAAGAGGAGCTCTTCCTGCCGCGCAAACTCAAGCCCCTCATGAGGATCAACAGGTCAGGACTGTTGAATTGTGTCAACAGGTCGGGGCTGTTGATGTGTGTCAACAGGTCAGGACTGTTGATTTGTGTCAACAGATCAGGGCTGTTGAATTGTGTCAACAGGTCAGGGCTGTTGATTTGTGTCAACAGGTCAGGTAGGTCAGGACTGTTGATTCGTGTCAACAGGTCCGGACTGTTGAATTTTTTAAACAGGTCAGGACTGTTGAATTGTGTCAACAGGTCAGGACTGTTGAATTGTGTCAACAGGTCAGGACTGTTGAATTGTGTCAACAGGTCAGGAGGGTTGAATTGTGTCAAGAGGTTGTTGCGGTTCTCCTGTCCCTTTATCATCACTGTTGCTGTTCTCCTGTCCCTTTTTCATGACTGTTGCTGTTCTCCTGTCCCTTTATCATCACTGTTGCTGTTCTTCTGTCCCTTTATCATCCTTGTTGCGGTTCCCCTGTCCCTTTTTCATCACTGTTGCTGTTCTCCTGTCCCTTTGTCATCACTGTTGCTGTTCTTCTGTCCCTTTGTCATCACTGTTGCTGTTCTCCTGTCCCTTTGTCATCACTGTTGCTGTTCTTCTGTCCCTTTGTCATCACTGTTGCTGTTCTTACACACCCGTGACAGTCACGGGACTGGTGACTGCAACACACCCGTGACAGTCACGGGACTGGTGACTGCAACACACACCCTTGACAGTCACGGGAGTATTAGTGTGAACTGGGCAGTTGTGGGGTTAGGTTGTTGTCAGACCACATATGTACTTCGGGGTGAAACTAGGGTTTGACTCGTGCCTAACACTAGGTGATAACTAGGTGATCGTGTCTCGTTCGGCCGCTGTAGCACTATTGCTCAAAATGATTTCAGAATATTGAGGAAGTATGATTAAAAAAGGGTGACATTTGCATTTAAAACATTTTTCTAAATTAGTTTCTCTAGCTGTCTAACAATTGGGAAAATAGTAGGGTCAACAAGTCTCAAAATTATAATTTTGTCCAATGACTGGTGTCAGACGGCGAGTTTCTCTCATTTCGCTCATCGCTGAGCATTTGCAGGATGTAAAGCTGAGGGAACGAGTAGACGAAGAGCTTCCAAGATGGCTGTAGGAAAAGACTAAATTAAAGTAGTAAATGAGGAACAAGTAAGGTTCTTGTCCTGTCCAGTTTACTGTTTTTCTAGTTGTGAAGCTCCAAAATACGTTGAGATCCAGTTGATCGGTTGTGTAAGTGTGCATGAATTATTGCGCTGAATCGGAATTGCTTCTATTATTTATAGTCTGTTGAAGTCCGGTCATGACGTGTAGGATTTTCTAGTCTATAAAAGTTCTTCCCTAGTTAATTATATATTGTGGTGGTCCATTACATGCGTTTGTGGTCCTCCAGAAAGTAGATGAACTGTGAGCCGTCGTGACTGATTGTAATAGTCGTGCCGACGTACGAACGGTTACGAACCTACACTCGTCAAAGTTGCAAGTGTATTGGTATGACATTTGTTTGCTTCAGGGTCGGTATACTTGGAACTGTGTTGCTCCTTGTGATGAGGCTTGTTACGGTGAGGCTTTTGTAGGAGTTTATCTGTTGTAGCAGGTGGTTGTTGGTACATCTGACGTTGTTTCTGATCATTTGCTTCTCTTTAGTTTTGTATGTTTGTATTTTCGGCCTTGCGGGAGGTCGGGGTTACTTGCATCTGTTATTGGTATCCCAGTTTTTTACTGCCGATTCATGCGAGGTAGTTATTCAAAATATTACCGAGGAGTGAATTAGGGTAACACGCTTGCTGGAGTTGTGAATCAAGCTTGCTTGAGTTTAATGATACTGTCGTGAAATAACTGCCAAGTGGACGATATTTTATAAATGTCGTGAATGAATGACTTGATGGTAAAGTCTATATATTGTTTGGGGCATTCACTTCGTGCGGTGGTGTAGATGCTGATTTTGGTCAACTTCTAATATAGGTACTGACGTGAAACTATTAGTTTCTTCATCGTTAAGGTCCAGGAAACTCGTTTGTTGCATGTTCCGATTTCATAAATGAATTTCCGTACGGAGTTGTTTTCGAGTAGCTTCTTGAGTTGTAGGAGGGATGAAACGGAATCGGTGACTATGAAGCAGTCATTGGCGTGTCGGCAAATGATATATATTTTTATGTGGGGATTTGCTTCAAGGATCTAATTTTGTAAAGCGGTTATTTGTAAGTTGGCAAGAGTGACACCTGTTCCTATACTGACCCCATACATTTGGAGGTACAGGGTTCCATCTGTGTGGGTGGGAGAGCTGTCAGTCGCGCAATCAATTATCAACTTATTGAATGTTGTTGGTTGCAGCGGAGGGAGAGGGAGATCTCGGGTCTGCGTATGTTAGATCAAAGGCCGTGAAAAATCTTGGAATTAGAGTAACATTTGCGAAGAGCAATTCAACGAAGCGAGGATACCGTGTGGAATAGTTACCCTGAAGATTTGTAAAAACTCGTCTGCACTCAGAGAAATTGATGGGACCTTGTCCAAATAGTGAAGCACTTTTGTCAATACCTGGGTCATCTTGACTCAGTTTAGCCCTGAAAAAGAACGTATCAGTGCTACAGGCAGGAAGTGTGTCACTATTTGAACAGTATGACCCACTTGTTTACCTGCGTGTGTGTTGGTCAACCATCATCACTTGAATAAAACAAAATGCTGCAGTTGAATGATGAAAGCGTTATTCTCGCAATATTTGGAAATATGTGAAAATTTTAAGATATTTTTATTATAGTTAGCAATGAGTTTTTCGCTCCTCAAAGCTTCGTAAAGAGTCTCCAATGATCACCAATATTGAAGTAAGATGTATGGAAAATCTTTAGAAATGCTAGGATTGAAACGCCATTCCCGTCCAGATAAAATGGTCATGTAGGAGTAGGATGTACCGCGTAGAGATGAGGCATGTAGGAGTAGGATGTACCGCGTAGAGATGAGGCATGTAGGAGTAGGATGTACCGCGTAGAGATGAGGCATGTAGTAGTAGGATGTACCGCGTAGAGATGAGGCATGTAGTAGTAGGATGTACCGCGTAGAGATGAGGCATGGAGGAGTAGGATGTACCGCGTAGAGATGAGGCATGGAGGAGTAGGATGTACGAAGATTTCTGTCCTATATATGGGAGTTGTGTTACTCTGCCGTAGAGAATGCACTGACATACGAGCTCCTGATGTCAGCCTCAAGCCGCAGTCTCGTGTCTCTAGAAATTGGTTCTCATCCGCAAAAACTGCAGATGCGAAAAAGTATGTCTAAAAAAATGTATCCCGACTTTAAATTTTTCATTATTTTTAGCAATTATAATATATATTTTAATATAATGTTACATGCTGTGAGCCTTATGGCTTATATACACGACTGTTCCTTTATCCCTTACGTCTATAACAATGATGAATGTAAATTTTTCAAGAAAATTAGACGTAAAATGTAGCATTTTTGATGTAAAAAAGCAGCGTTATCTTGCTAATTTGTTTATGAGTCATAAACTGGAAGATTAATAGGGTACAAGTAAGCAGTATTTTGTAAACGAGTGGTGGTGGTGATTGGTGATTATTGGAGCTTCGAAGACTTGTCCATGTAGCTCCACAACTGTATGGGAGTATATTGCAGACGCAGCCACAACAACTGTGGACACGTGAAGAGGATTGTCAGCACAGAGCGATGCAAGCATCGCAACAATAGCTAATCAACAATTTCAAAACGAGGGTGTATGTTCCAGTATCATTTGTAAACGAGTCCAAAAACTGACTAGCCAATATTCCGGAATCTGTATGAAATTCCGCAAACGCGGACGTCACAGAGTTGTGTCTTTTGTGTTGATGGTTCGTTAATTTACCTTACACTGGTAATAAAATTGGCGAACTTGATCATGTTTAAATAACTTGAGAAATTAATAAGTACGTTTTGTGATGAATAAATAATTGTTTGTTCGCGCAATGTGGTTCACTAGCACGAGCTCTGGAGTCTGTAGTGAAGTATAGCATAGAAACCTCGTCGTTGAAGAATAAACCGGGACGGTCTGTTATATTTTAAAAATAGACCGGGACTGTCTAATGTTAGCGAAGATACGGGCGCGTTATCAGCGTGATCGCGGCCAACGTTACAATCGTTTTGAAAGCATGACATTGATCAGAGAATTGCTATCTATTTAAATATTTTTTAATATTCTATGGAATACGTCTGGATGCTTATCAATTAGATTATTTACGTTACTGTACATTTTACAACACTTCTCTTTAACTTCACTTCTTGTTTGTCTGTCTGCTACAAATCTAATAATCGAAATTTAACACACTTCTACTTATCCTATCGATCTGAAATTTTGCAGACTTGCGTAAAGTCCGAGACAATGCATGAATCAATTGACAGAATAAATAATTTTGAAAATTTAATTTCTTTTATGTATTGAAATAATTAAAAAATTAATTTTTTAAATATTAAAAATTAAAATTAGAAATTCATTGTACATATTTTACATTGGAGACACTGGATTTTTTAGAAGGGTTGTCTTTAAAAATTAATTTTTAAACTTATATTTTAAAGGCTCATATTTTATCAGTTTATTATTTAACTAGCCTTTGAGTTACTAATGCTTTGCTGTCAACAAATTGCACGAAGATCCACAAGCGAAATAAGACGTTCCTGCGCTAATTTGATTGAACCTTGCCGTGTCAATAATTTGTTCAAGTTGTTGAATACGTCAATGTTGAAATTATTGGTTAAAAAATATTATTAAATTCCAAGATGAGATGGAAAAGCTATAAATATTTTCAACTTCTTGATACAAGAAACTTGTAGACGGATGTCGCATGTGGGCACATTTCTACGACGTGGTTCAGTTTTGTACGTACGATGCGGTGGAACCTTCGCTCGATTGTTGCTTGTGGTAAATCGCTGCAATGCTGCACGTCGCAGCTGCAGCAGCTGTACAAGAAGTAGCACAGCAGCTTTAAGTGGGAGGATTGCAGACATTTTCACGGCCAATGCAGCGTCTCTCTGCCGCCTTATACAGCTGCTGTCTATACAGCTGCGGCATAAAGCTGCATCTGTAGTGCCGGCTGCTGGAAATTTTGTCCTACGTGGGACAACGAATATGTTGTAAAAACTACTGCATAGCAGCAACTTATTCGTGTGATGAGTAATAACTAATATGTTGTTTTCTATACGGCTGCCGTTGCTGCTTGTGTAGCTGCTGACTATACGGCTGCTTCTGTTGCTTGTTTAGCTGCTGACAATACGGCTGTCGCTGCTGCTTGTTTAGCTGCTGACAATACGGCTGTCGCTGCTGCTTGTTTAGCTGCTGACAATACGGCTGCCGCTGCTGCTTGTTTAGCTGCTGATAATACGGCTGCGACTTATAATACGGCTTTTGCTTGACGACTGGTGATGATATAGCTGCAGTATCAGAAAGGCATAGCTGCTACGCAAAACTTCTTACACGTCAGGGTCTGATACATTCATGTATACTGAAGCAGCTCCAGCAGATATACTGAAGCAGCTCCAGCAGATATACTGAAGCAGCTCCAGCAGATATACTGAAGCAGCTCCAGCAGATATACTGAAGCAGCTCCAGCAGATATACTGAAGCAGCTCCAGCAGATATACTGAAGCAGCTCCAGCAGATATACTGAAGCAGCTCCAGCAGATATACTGAAGCAGCTCCAGCAGATATACTGAAGCAGCTCCAGCAGATATACTGAAGCAGCTCCAGCAGATATACTGAAGCAGCTCCAGCAGATATACTGAAGCAGCTCCAGCAGATATACTGAAGCAGCTCCAGCAGATATACTGAAGCAGCTCCAGCAGATATACTGAAGCAGCTCCAGCAGATATACTGAAGCAGCTCCAGCAGATATACTGAAGCAGCTCCAGCAGATATACTGAAGCAGCTCCAGCAGATATACTGAAGCAGCTCCAGCAGATATACTGAAGCAGCTCCAGCAGATATACTGAAGCAGCTCCAGCAGATATACTGAAGCAGCTCCAGCAGATATACTGAAGCAGCTGCAGCAGATATATAACAACTCCAAGGAACATATATCTGCTCTTTAATCCAGTAGAAGACGCACGCCCCAAGGCAGGTCCACTGCTTTTTATTTT